GCATCTCAATTGGGTTGAGGTCAGGACTCTGACTGGGCCACTCCAGAAGGCGTATTTTCTTCTGTTGAAGCCATTCTGTTTTTGATTTACTTCTGTGCTTTGGGTCGTTGTCCTGTTGCATCACACATCTTCTGTTGAGCTTCAATTGGTGGACAGATGGCCTTAAGTTCTCCAGCAAAATGTCTTGATAAACTTGAGAATTCATTTTTCCGTCGATGATGGCAATCTGTCCAGGCCCTGAGGCAGCAAAGCAGCCCCAAACCATGATGCTCCCTCCACCATACTTCACAGTTGGGATGAGGTTTTGATGTTGGTGTGCTGTGCCTTTTTTTCTCCACACATAGCGTTGTGTGTTCCTTCCAAACAACTCAACTTTGGTTTCATCTGTCCATATAATATTTTGCCAGTAGTGCTGTGGAACATCCAGGTGCGCTTTTGCAAACTTCAAACGTGCAGAAATGTTTTTTCTGGACAGCAGTGGCTTCCTCCATTTTATGACCAACTGTATGACCAAGAAATCCAGGTAATTCCAAAGGGTTCACCTACTTTTTCTTGCAACTGTATAAAGGGTTTCACATAAGTGAAGACACCTCAAGAGGACACTCAGAGCGACGGGACATGCACGTCCCTCTGAGCTGAGTTATTGACAGATTCGAATTTCGTGGATCAATAACTCATGAACATAACGTTGTAAAAATACAAACAACATGACTTTACAATCATAGCAAGGTAGACAATGGGCTACAGAGTCGTTTTTATCAGAACAGTTCGATACGCGCCGTCATCCGAGCTAAACATCAAGATTTGGTCACAATCTGCAGCTGGAGGAGGGAGAGGAGTGCTTGGGGACCGTCTACAAACTGCAACGGGGTTTTGCGAGATCTCGCAAAAGTATTGCGATATCTCGCAAAACTTTTGTATTTATTTTTTGTTCAAACGTTTATTTCTTTCTTCTCCATGTCCCCTAGGGGGCTCCGTAACATCCCGATAGCAATGATTATCTTAAGTGCTTTGACAAAAAATCCATAAAAAAAGATTCACCTGTGGAAGCCGTAGTACTGTAAAAAGCACGAACAATCATTTTAGCTGGCGGCCCGGCTAAAATAACTAGACAGCCTACCTGCCTGTCAGCCTTCCATCTGTGCACAAACTTATCTGGTGCCCTCATTGGTCATGTGCGCGTTCGTGTGTGTTGGAGGAGGGGCTCTGTAAGGAAGTGGCAGTTTTTTTCCGTCTGTCTAATTTCAAAAAACATCTAAACCCTAACTCACTTTGCCAGTAAGAACAACAAGGACAAAGAGATGAATACTCACCCAGATGTTGTAAAGTCAAAGGGAGGCAGGATCCGTTGGAACCAGATTTGCTAACCCAAGAAGTGGGTTCTAAAGTTCCGTACCTACTGACTGAGAATCAAGTACATGTAGCTACACAACAGCAAACATATGTAAAGGCGTTAGTGTAAATGAAAAGTGATGAAATACAAAGGATCAAAAGACTAAGTCTTCCAGGCCCCACCTTTTAGAAGCAGAGCAGTCTAGCCAAGGCAGACCAACCTCAGCCCAGCGGGGTCTGAATTCAGAGAAATAGTTATATATTTTTCAATACTATAAAAGTTTGAGAAAGGTTTTCTGAACATGCTTTAGGCCAAAACAGAATGTTCATCTTACAAGCATACTGAAGGATTTTAGACAATCTCACCTTGCATCAAGCCTAACCTGTGCATACAAGGCTAAGGGAAGGTCAGACGTATGAGAAAAACTTGCTTCATATAAAGGTCACATACACATACAGTACACACACATTCCCTCAAGCCAACCTCATGTCTCCCACGTGGAGTAATTGGCCTGACTCTGAGGAGTCTCCTATCTGAGCAGTGGTCTTGGGTTGCTATAGGTTTATTTCTCAGAGGACCTGACCTAGCATAGCTGCAGCTTATCTAAGGCCTGATAGGAGGTTCAGCAGCATACACACATACACACACACACACACACACACACACACACACACACACACACACACATATATTGGCATGAATAAAAAGTTACACACGTATTTTTTTCTTTTTTTCACATTCACACACATGCACACACACTTACTGCCTTGAGTCTGTTGGTACATCACCCACTCAGGGGTAGCCTTGGTTAGTCTGTTTGATGTCTAACCCTCTGCAAGATTAAAAACAATCAACAACAACAATAGCAGCAACAGCAGCCACAACAACAGCTCCAGCATATGGCTATTAAATCTAAAAGGCGCTCATGCATCAAAAGGAAAACTAGATTTCTATCATTATTATCAACACTATGTGGCTGCTTCAGGGGCTCATTTTAGCAAATATCATTTCCTATAGACAACAGATTGGGCCATGCGATGGGTTGAGTGTGGAATGAACAAATATGCTAATAGGATGACAGAATGGAATGCATGAAGAATACATACAGTACACCTCCATGCACAGATAAACAAACACAGGAAAAAAGGAAATAAGAATAGCTAATGGTTTACAATGTTGCTGAACAAAACAAAGATAAGGTTGAGTTCAAGCCAAAGAAAACCGTCAAATTAGTTGACACCCACTGCCTTGTGTTTGGCAAATTATCCCTGATGTAGAGCCCCACAAATGCAGGAGATTCAAGCTTTCCATTCCGACTGTAAGTGAGGGAAGGTCTCAGACTCAGAACAATGCAGCCTATTATAATGTATTACTCTGGGACCAGGTTGCATGCCTCTCGGTTCCCATTTCATGTTATATTGCACCTCTTGTGCTCCTGACCTGTGGGCTACACTGAAATCTAACCTAATCCTGGTTACCACTTCTACAGGTCAAAATCAAGAGACTGTACACTAGTCAATATGTAAAGCAAGCTTATCCTGTTGTGAGAGTTAAGAAGGAATGCTTGAGATCCCTTTAATGGATATACTATAGGTTCAGACCAGAGAACATCTTAAGATGGCTGCTACCAACATGAAAACACTATAGAAATGTATCTGACTAGGGATACTATCTAACATGGTGCCTTTTACATAAGCCCACATCTCCCCGGTGCCGTGTCAGAGGTCAGCCCTTGAGTTATGATTATTACGACCACAGGGGAGTACCGCGTGTGGGATTTAGGGTGCTAGGCATGTCTCATTCACCCTTCAGCTGTCACCAATCCCCTCAAGAGGCCATGCCTCAACTGACTGACAGGTGTAAATAATGACTTGAGTCCAGAGGTCACCAGTCAACATAAGCACACAGACCAAACACAGCTGCATGCAACCTCTGAAACATAGACTTCACCTCCCTGAGGATTCCATAATTAAGTGAGGTTTCCATCAGTGAGCAAAAAGTCTGGACTTTTATAGCCTTTGAAAAAAATATTAATTTATATAACAGATTCACTCCTAAAAAGCTGATGATATTGCTGCACTTGTGTTCATTGTAATTAATCTGAAGAGTGTAAAATAATTTTGAAAACCTTTATTAAGTTGATAAATCATTAACTTATCAAATTGATTCACTTCCAAGGCGCACTTCGTAATTTAAAAAACATTATAGTGTTTATTGCCGTTTTTCTGCTCGACATTCATCATGCTGTTCACCTATACTTACAGGAAGAGAGCAGGGCCTTTAAAAACAATATGGAGGAGGGGAAAGCTCTCATTATGGCGCCGCACATTCCAGAAAGTGAGAGATCAGCCTGGAGGCCTCACCAGATGACAGCAGCTGCTTTTCCCAGCCTTATGAGGATGCTGCTAGTGGTGGGGACGGTAAGTGGAGAGGACAGTCAAAAGGTAGGCAGGGGTAGATATGGGACGGAGATGTCTAGAGGGACTTAGTTATCATTTGGAATACTTCTTCTCCTTTCATCACTTTGGATAATGCCTCACATGTGGGTGTAGGGGGAAAAGGGCGGTGTCATGGGGGAAGGGATGGGTGTTGGGTATGGAGGGATCTTGTTTGAGGTAGACAGAATGTTATAATTGTATTGAAGTTTTGAAGGCACCACCACCCCCCCTACCTTTGTTCCTCCAAGATTTTTGAGCTTTAAGTTGTGACAAACACTTTTTCCACATGCAGCAGATTTAAGGTTCCACACTGAAAAAACATCAGGGTTGTAAAGAAAAAAAAAAGCTGTATTAATGGGCAAAGAGGCTAACGGATTATTTGAAATGACATAGAATGTTCAAAGCTGTCAGCTTAATTGTTACAAAACATTTACAGTGTCAGAATATTCCGCTAAGAAGGCAGAAGCTTTCCCAATGTCCACTGGGAGAATTGGTCTGTGAAATACTGTCTGAGACCAGAAAACGTACATATGGCAATGGACTTTACTCGTTCATTCCTACTTTGTTGTCACTTTAATCCGTCCTTTTTCTTTGGCATCACTGACTGCAGAAAGGTGAAAGGCCTCTGTGAACATGTCGAAGAGAGGACAACCAAGAGAGGATATTCAGATGGCTGCTGTCTATAGCAATTACATGTACCAAGACTGTGTGTCTGTTTTGGCTGTTAGCGTGCGCTGAGGCTGTTGTGTCCCTCTCCACTGTCTTTAACAACCGATCGGCTCTCCCCTGAGAGCCACTTAGTCGGTCCTCGATCCAGCCTCTTGAGTTACAGCTCACCAACACACATGCTCCCATCAGAGCAGCCACCATCTGGACACACATACATACCGAAACACGCTTAAGCTCTTAAGACACACACACACACACACACACACACACACACACACACACACACACACACACACACACACACACACACACACACGTGGAAACACTCATAAGACGATACATATACCTGCTTTCATGAACATTGCAATGTATAGAGCACTTTATTGACCGTGAAAATTCAGAGACAGCTTGTCAGGGTTCTGCAGACATGAGATATGAATAATTTTTTTATGTGAACTCTTCACAATAATCACTGCAATCGTCCAATTCAAGTTGCCTAGTGAAGTGGATGAAATTACCCTGTAGTTCTGTTTCCTTTCAAGAGGCTGGACAATGTCGGGATGCAGAGTGAGATATCCGAGCCACTTTAAACTCTCATGAGATAATTATTCTCGTAGAAATCATGTACGTGTACGCAACATTTTCTCTGGGAAGATATGTTGCTTTTGAATTGTTCTTATTTCTGAACATTTCTAATACTTTGATTATCACAAGCAAAATTAAACTAACCCATTATCTTTGTTTTGTGTTCTGGCAGCAGGCAATCTCATGAAAAAGACATGTGTAGAGGTGAGAATAGATTTTTGTATTATTATTATTTTATGATTTATGTCTGGTGAGCATTTGAATCAATCCTGATATATATAGTAAATCCACTCAGGGACGGACTGACCAGCGATTTCAGGGAAGATTCCCAAATGGCCTGTGGTCAAAAGTTTTTATTTTTCAATTTCTGACGTTAGCAGTTATATTATGGTCCTCAGTTGTGGCAACGGTTTTTGTGGGAATCTGATTGGCTCGGTCGTTCTTATTGTCACAGCATTGAGTATCTGAGTGTGCATTTATGTATATAAGCCTAAAGCCTGTTACTATCAATTAAATCACACTCTTTTACATGAGATCTTATTTCTAGTAGGGCTGCTCAATTAATCGTATTTTAATCGCGATTACGATTATCGCTTGCAACGATTACGAAAACAACGTAATCAAAATAAAACGATTATTTTTTTATTATTACTTTTTTTTTTTATAATTATTATTTTTTCAGTTGAAGTATACTTAAAGTTCAGGGTAATCAACTGTTAAAAACATACTGTTCACATTTTTTTTCTCCAATAAATGNGGTTACCTTGGTTGGTTATTGGCCAGTGGTAACACAAGCCAAACAATCATTATGACATCATAAAGTGGCCAAAATCTGATCAGCTTATTTTCAGACAGGTTTACTTTTTATATAAATGGATCAGGACAAAAAGTGAGCTAATCTTTTTTCCTGAAACTTTGAGAATCTCTTTACACAGAGGGGACACATGTTTATTTATAAAATACATGAACAAGTGGATTTTGCACAATAGGTGAAGTAAATTATAAAGCTTAAATACTTCCATCTTAGCATGTACTTGTGTCCCCAACATGTATTTTCATTGGGACTGGACACACCTTTTTTTTTCAGCAGGAAGGGCATGCTGATAACAGTATGTGTTGGTTTGTACTGTAGAGAGGCTGGAACACAAATATTATTCTGGGCCTACTCAGCAAGCTAGGTGTGAGGAAGTAACAGGGATGGGATAATATTCAAGGGGACTAACTAATTAAAGATTTCCGGTTTTGTTGATTTCACTGTGTGGTGTCTCTGCAGGATACCAAGGTGGAGATAATTAATCCAGATATTTACCAGGACTTTATTTTTTTTTGGGGGGGGGGAGATATGAAAACAGTTGGTTGGCCTTTAGTACAGCTAAATCATGTGAGTCGGGGGAACCACACTGTTAAAAATATCATGATGCAGCAACAATAGAGGAGTATTGGACAACACTCAGGGTGCTTGATATAGACTAAATGAAAATCAATCATTTCTGCCAAGGGACATGATATGTAAATAAGATGAATAAATGAATAGATTTAGATCTCATCAACTCTACTAATGTTTTGTTTGATCACTTTTTGATCAAACAAAACTTTATCAGTTCTGGGTTTTGACAGATACCACTGTGCTCCTCTTTCCATCTCCCCTCTAGGTGAATTTGGGGAGGTTTACAAGGGCCGTTTGAAGCTGCCTGGTAAGAGGGAGATCTATGTAGCCATCAAGACTCTGAAGGCAGGCTACGTGGATAAGCAGAGGCGAGACTTCCTGGCTGAAGCTTCAATCATGGGCCAGTTCGATCATCCCAACATCATCCGTCTGGAGGGTGTAGTCACAAAGAGCCGACCGGTCATGATAGTCACAGAGTTTATGGAGAATGGTGCCCTTGACTCATTCCTCAGGGTGAGTCATTTTTGTGGAATCATACTTGTTGGCTACTAGTTATATTAGGTGATGAGACGCCATATTCTCAAGTCTAATATAAGCTGTTCCATTATGAAACTGAGGAGTTAATTGGAAATTAATTGTTAAACAGTCCCGTAAAGGAACGCATGCTAGGAATCGCTCCTAATACAAATTAGAATGAGCCTTCTTAATCTATCGTGTGCCAACAGAGAATATGTTTCATGACAATGAACATGATTTCAATCATTCTTAATTTCGAATTTTCCATTAGCTAGCTCTATCAGCTTTAATTTCTCTATAAATGCCTGGAGCGTTTAATGAACTCCTCACTTTCTTTTATAGTCGGGATTGAGCGGACATACAGCTTAATCAATATTCAACTCGCTCTTTCCCTTCTTCAATCTCATGGATTGGTGTTCTATTCCACTTTGATCTAGGGTGGGTTTAAAGGGGCTCTTTGAAGTTGGCTTTGCTAACCGCCACATCCGACTTGTGTTCCCATCGATCTCCCTTACCCTCTTATTTGTTACCGTGTTTCGGGGGTTCAAAGCTTGCTCTTCAAAACATTCGTACCGGGGTAGGGGCGCCATGCTTGGATGTTGAAGAGATGGATGTCATCAAGTTCTAATGGAAAACTGCTCTGAAACCGGCAATGAGCAAGATTGGCTTCAGGAATCCATTTCCCTATATAATAGAAGTCTAATTTTCCACTTGTTATGAAGAGGATTTAAAGGGCAATTAAAGAGTGCAGGATGTTGATTTTATAATAGCTGAGTGTTAACAACAAATAATTAAAAATGCGGCGCCAAAAAAAACGTATCCTGAAATAAGTGAACTTAATTACTTGCTAGAGAAAAAGCACTAATGTCAACAGTTGGGAAATCAGATGTATTAGCCTACTTGTAAATGTAATGCCAGATGTGACAGCACATCTTGTTCCTTTGCCAGTTTATGAACATAGACCCTCTGGCTTTGGTAATAATAATATACTACAAAGCCTTTAAATTGAAGTACATTCCCACTGGGCAGCCTTTTTGACGACTACATGTTGTATGCAAAAAACATTAGAAAAAAGGACAAACATTTAATTTATTTTTCACTTGATTTGATATTTCCTAGCAGAAAATATCCAATTGTATGTATATTTGTATTCAGCATATACATATAAGGACAATCAGGCCTAGTATTTGTTATCAGCATCCTATCTTCAGTAAATAACCAATGTAATTTGTTCATTATCATTCAAAAGCAGTAATATTAACATTTGCTGACACCTCTCTATCTTCCAGCTATTCTCATTTATGTTAATTGCGCCAAAGATAACATCTAAATAACTTTTTTTTTCTCTGTCCTCTAGCAAAATGATGGTCAGTTCACCGTGATCCAGTTGGTAGGGATGATGCGTGGGATCTCAGCTGGGATGAAATATCTCTCCGAAATGAACTACGTTCACCGTGACCTGGCTGCACGAAACATTCTGGTCAACAGCAACCTGGTGTGTAAAGTGTCTGACTTCGGCCTGTCTCGCTACCTACAGGACGACACTTCTGATCCCAGCTACACCAGTTCACTGGTGAGTACTTACAATGTTCAACTTTTATCTTAAGGGCCAGGGGGAACCATATATTTTCCGAATATGGCTTTTTCAGCATGTAATGTGTCTTTGAAGTGTCAAGTCAAATTGTTATTGATACACACAGCATACGGAACGTCGCTACAACCATCACCTATCAGTCTAATCACTGTTGCTTCTCTGTGACGCTGTCTCTTTCTTTCTGAAGGTCTTTGCAACCTTTCACCTTTTCAGTGCCTTTCATTTTATATTAGCTGTCTGACTTTCTCATCCCCTTTCTTCCTCTTTCCTACACTCTGCAAGTCACGAACTGGAGGGCTGTCACATCTTCATTAGTGTGGAGACAAGCCTCCTCTGGGAAGGCTCCTCTCTCGTTGACATGCCCAGAGTGCAGTGAAACCAAAGGGCATTGCGGCCTCTCAAACTGACAGCTTCCAACCCCCCCCCCCCCATCCATTTTCTCTCTCACTCCTCATTCATTATTACTGGGGCATCATGGGAGGCTTTGGCTCCTCATTAACTCCTCCACACTACAGATCTGTAATTATTAGCAGCCATCGTTAGTTCATCTTCTGCCTCTCCTCTTCCTAATTCAAAACACACTATTACGCCCTCGCAAACACACTGCACAGGTCGTTAGGACTCACGGCATGCCTGAGTTTGTGCGTGGGTTTTTACTTAAGTGTGTGTGTATGAGAGAGCTTAAAAGCTATGATGTGTACATGCATGTATGTGTCTGAGTGGGTGGGTGGGTGTCTTTGTGTCTATTGCCACCTCATTGACATTGCTTTGGGACTTTGGTGCAAATTAGCTTGTGTCACTGTCAATGTAACACATATGTATATGTCTGCCTTTTGTAGTAAGGTTTGCAATAGAGGAAATGTGTATATATATATTATTATTATTATTTTTAGCATGTCATGTATTTCATCTGTCCTCCTGTAATGTTTGTTCCCCAGCCTCCAGTGGCCCAACACAACCTTTACTGCCAGTCTAACCTGGGAGAAGATATTCTTACTTGTTTCATAAAACCACCCGGGTAGCTCTCTGTGATGAATGTAAATTGTGGTAGCACTGTATATATTATCAATAAATAGTATAATCATGTTGTAAAAATAGCCTATTTTAGAATTACTTTCAGATATTTCTTTCAACACATAAGAAGATCATTATATTACATGACATGTTACTTGCTATACGCTTTTATCCAAAGCGACTTAGATACTCAATACAGTGGGCAATCCCCACAGGAGCAATTTGAGGTGAAGTGTCTTGCCCAGGGACACAACGACATGCTGACTGCAGTGGGGTTTGAACCTGTGCTCCCATGATCCGAACACCAACGCACTAGTCCACTGTGCCACACACCTCCAGATCAAAGACATATAGTCAGTCTGTGAGTCAGAGCAACTCAGGTATAAAAAGAGAGTCGGAAAAATAATTAGTCTTCATCTAAATATAGGCAAAGAAACAAAACACATCATGTACTTTATCCTCTGTACATTTGAGCTCTGGTTGAAAATGCTCTCGTTAGATTATTGTTAATAATGTTACAATTATTACTTTAGGTTGTTTGCCAATAACATTCAGTGTAAATGATTGGCAGGATGTGGACGCTCAGGTGAGCACAGGAAGTGTCATTAGGGCCAGACCTTACATCGGTGTGGCTGAGAGCTAATCGCTCCCCAGGAATAGCTTGCATTGTATGCTTGACCCCTGTGGGTAAACCTTGCTGAATGGGTCTTATTTAGCAACAAAGAGGAACAGCATCTCTGTTGTCTGCGCCGTTGAGCTTGCTAATAAAACAGGGCGTAAAAGGAGGGGATTAGATTATAGATTGAAGTCGGCATTTTGATGTTGTTTAATGCAAACAAAGTCTCCTTGAGGGCATTATCTGGAGAGTCAATAGAGCAAGTGAGGTTTGAAGTCTAAACCTGGGGAGCTGTTTTGATGGTAACACTAAGGTGTTTTGATGCTGTGTGTGTCTTTTACTGATAGAGAAGAGCACATCAAAGCTTCGACAGTGCTTCAATTTCCTACTGAGTGCAGCCTTCTTATCATAAGGATCCAGATGAAATCTTCAGTTCCATGACTATTTTTGTTCAAAATCAGAAGAGCAGTTTTATTCATATATCATAATGAGAGTCTGTAACTATGCCTGCTGAAGTCTTAAATAGAACTAAATGTGATAAAATTTGAGGACAGATCATCAAGACTTTGCTGATGTTGCCACAGATGTTCTTAGTCCTCTGTTCTCCTGATCCCCAATCCCCAGTAAACAGGGAAAACATGCAAACAAGTACGCTCCTGTACGCTCTATGATGTAATTAAGCTATGCATGGTGCCCTTCACTCTTTGACTTCTTCAGCTAAGACCTGACGCTAACCAATCAGTGAGCAAGGCTGGCGTGGCAGACAAGGCCGAGGGAATCCGGGAAATTAAATTGCGCTGACAAGCAGTGATTTACATCGCCATCGACCTCTTCCTCTAGCAAATTAATCACCTCTTTCCCTCTACTGCTTTTCTAATTTTTCCCTGCAATTTGAGGCACACCAATTACAGTGCCTGTGGTGTGGTGTTGGATGTATGGTTAGGGGGGCATGCTGGTAATTGTGTTAACCCTGGATTTGGGTTCATTCTGGAGCAGTGTTGTGGAGGTTTCAGACAGAAGGGGGCTGTCCGCCCTTTCTGTTGGCTGCTAACCAAACTCGTGATTAATTAGGCTCAATGGACAATGCTTGGGCTGCACTGGTCTTGCTAAGGTGATGTGTGTTAATTAATATATAGACTGTGTGTCCCATCGCAGCCATGCCTTTCTTGTATTTGCATCACTGCCTGATTATATTTACACAGTTGCTTGGTTTATGAAGTAGCCCTTAGGACCATGGTAACAAGTCCAGGTTAAATGTGAGTTAACCTGCTTACCTGACAGGGAGGAGGATTGATTTTTGAACACCCGGCGAACCGGGAACACTTTCAAATTAGTCTCTTTATTCACAAATCCATATATCTAAAAGGCTACCATCTATGCATTTATTTATCTATTATTCCTTTTCCCCCAGCTGTCCACTTCTTTCCCATTTCATCAGATGGACATAATCAGTGTAGATGTAACGAATGAAGAACCAAACTGTATGCAGCGGTGATGCGTCATATGTGTTAGTGTGTTTTGTTTTCATGTGTGAGTGAATAGCGTGTCAAGTCTATCACACATTAGACACACACAAGTGCTGCTACCCTTTCATTTGAGTTTTTATGCCCACAGGACCTTAGTGAGGAGGGAAGGTATGGGTCAGGAATTTCGACTTGTGCCTCAGCTGATGATGTGGAAAGCCTGTCATTGCCTTGCATGTCACACCATGTATACCATACGATGTGACTGAGTGGGCATGTTTGTGGTTAGAAGAGTGTGTGCGCTGTGCTCCTGACAGAGTATACACATATAAGTCCCCCAGGTATCTTTTTCTATGTATGTGTATGTAGGTGTGTGTTTGTTTGTTTGTGTCATTGAGGCTGAGAGGGGTTGAAAGGCGAGGTCACTCAGAGCCAGAAACAAAGCTCATCTGTCAAATCCCTGTGACCTGAGTGACATTCTCTCAGCTCCGCTCCAGTGCCCACACTATGTGGACCGCGCTGTTGTTTCTGTCATTTGTCTGTTTTCTATTTGCATCCTTTCCCCCTCCCTCTCTGGCTTCAGGCCCATGCACTTTTTTGGCTTGTCTCTTCAACTTTCAGTGAATTATTTATGCACTTCAAGTTAAGGGGGACATATTCGCTGAGTAAACAAGAAGTGAATTGGGAACATGTCCATATGGACTCAACCAAAAGCAAACAAAGGGTCTTTTTGAGACTTATCACATGTATATGCAAACATAAAATACATATTTACATAGACAATAAACCTGTAACAGTACTGAATATAGACCAGCACATTTGTGTGGCTGTTGCTGCTTCTTCCCTGAGGCACTGTTGTGTTGCATCACCATGATGTCCACAGCTCATATTACAACAAGCCAGGTTCATACTTCACACCACACCACACAGCAAACACAGACCCCAACATCTCCCTATTATTACAGCTCATTTCAGGAGAACAGCAAGTTCACCATACATAGTTATATAAGCACAGACTAAAAATGAATGAAACCTATTGCTTATTTATTTCCATTTCATGGGATGAAGTTACATTTAGTAAACAGCTGTTTGCACCAACCAACTTTAAGAGCTTGCATTTAGAAAATAGTCCACTGTACACTTTTGCTGTCTATTTAACTCTACAATATTGTCAAAAATGTACCTGTGTATTCCTTCACTCTTTGTATATAAGGAATACTATAATCCACTGGTTCTCTTTGATCAGCAGTCAGTCATTCTGCTTACATATCTCCACAATCCTTTACTGTCTTCTTCTACAGTATCTTCAAATATATCCTGTGTATACCCATACCTTGTTGCAGTTCTAAAACAAATGTTATTGTATTGTGTAGTTGGAAAAATACACAATTAGATTCATATTTCCTCCAATTCCCATGGGTTATACTGTGCAGCTGTAACTTAAAGGTCCCCTATTATACTGTTTTTCATCAATATATTATAGGTCTCAGATATATACAAAACATGTCTCTGAAGTGTTTGGCTCCAAATACCAAACAGATCATGTATTATAGCATCCCATAATCCACTCTGTTTCAGCCCTGTTTCAAAATAAGGTGCCCCTCCCCACGCCCCTCTGCGAGATATATGGTTAAAAAGAACACAAAGGTGCTCTGGGAGGAGATTCAGGAAATAAGGTGGGCGGATGTTACCTTGGTTGGTGATTGGCTAATGGTTACACAAGCCAAATAATCGTTATGACATCATAAAGTGGCTAAAATCTGACCAGCTCATTTCAGGTTTTTATATAAATAGATCAGGAGAAAAAGTGAGCGAATCTTTTTTCCTGAAACTTTCAGAATCTCTTTACACAGAGAGAGAGGACACATGTTTCTGTATAAAATACA